TCTACATACCTGTATAATCATCACTACATTTATCTGTTTTTATAATGAAACATTGTCTTTTATTGTTTACCATCTAAAAGTTTTGTAGAGTAGTTCTGACAGGTGTTTAATGTCTTTGATGCAGTTTTCTTACTTTTTTTGGTTTTGTGTAAAATAATAATAAGAGTAATCAACTTGAACTTACACAGAATTCTGCAGAAATGCAGATACATGTGTCAAACTCAAGGTCCAGGGGCCAAATATGGTTTTGTTAATATTTTATCTGGCCCCCAAGATGATCTTTAAATAGGAAAATACTTATATAGCTTCTCATTTTACTAAAAAATTGAGCATGTTTTATTCAGTGGAGTTGTCCAACTTTCAAGCCCAGAAAGATGAGTTGGAGTTTTTCTGTCAATGTCGGGGGAAAAACGTAAAGATAATGAAGATTCACTCTCAAAAACCACAGACTCATAGAGAGGTGAAGATTCAAATGGCTTTACTCGCATGCAAGGAGCTCAAACACAGACAAGCACAAAATTATGAAGCTTTCACAGAATGACCAGTACAGCGTCCACAGGTGAACTTCATTGTTCTTGGTCCTGTCCGTATTCATAGTACTATGAACATTCACGAACGTTAGCAGCTGTTATCTGTCAGAGGCCACGTTACTCTTCATCTGCAGACAGTCTCTCTCGCTCCAGACTGTATCAGGCTCTGTCTGTCCCTGGGGATGGAGAAGTGATACATTCCAAGGCTGGGTGATAGTGACAGGGTAAGATGTCCAGCGCAGCCTCTCATCCCCAGTCAAGAAGCTGAAATATCTGTGTCTTCTCTCCAGCATCATTTTCATCATTGTTGGAGAGTTTGGCGACAGACCAAGGCGGCTTCGTTACACACAGCTGACCAAAACAAGACATTTGACAATCAACATCGCTCTGTAGCTCCTACCTACGAGGTCAGCCAGAAGGTATGGCTTTTCACCTGAGACATCCTTCTTAAAGACACCCCCAGAAGACTGGCTCCTCAGTAGAGCTTTGTCCCTTTGTAAAAATCATAAAATCCTCTGCAGTCAGACTAAGATTACCCATCTCAGTCAGACTAAGATTACCCATCTCAATACACATCCATGCTACCTTTCATGTATCTCATGCTAAACCTGTTTCTGAGAGTCACTTGTGCCCTCCTGCCAACCTCCCTCCATCCCTCCGTCTTGTCAATAATCATCCAGCCTTTACAGTCAGATGCATTCTGGATGTGAGATGCTGGGATGTGGGATTCCAGTACTTGGCCGACTGGGAGGGATATGGTCCAGAGGAGAGACCTTGGATCCCCAGATCATTTATTTTAGATTCAAGCCTCATCACATCTTTCTTTCAGGATCATCACAAGAAGTCTGAGATCACATGGAGGCAATTCTTGAGAGTGGGGTACTGTGGGATTCTAGTCTTTTCTATGCAGGTTCCTGGGTCCTGGGCGGTGCCAATAAGCAGCAGCAGCTTTGGGTCATCTCCTTGATGAGCTCAGGGAGTATAAGAGGCTGTGGAAGTGTTCCTTTCCCTGCTGGAGCATTCAATACTAACTGCCATTGCTATCGGCCTCTTTGTGGTTATCTAACCCAAAGAACTGGTCTTACCTTGTCTTCTCCTCTGTGTTTCCCATATTCATCTATGAATAAAGTCACTTTTATTATCTAAAGAGCTTGAGTCTGTTCACCTCAGTCCTATTAGTCTGTATTTAACTCTAATTGTGATTGAAAGAGAAAAAAACAAAAGGTGCCAATTGGCTCCAGATGGACCACTGGACCTTCAGTACACATCCCCGCTCGGAGGTCCACATGGGCGGGCTTCCAGTTCTCAAGATTCACCAATGGGTCTGGTTCTGCTCTGGTTCTGATCCAGTTCAGTGGGTTTGGTGGGGCTTCTCTGCATTTGCTCAGATCAGATCAAAACTTTACCTTTTGTTCAGCAGAAGAAAATGGGGCTTCTGGGCAGGGCCCTGTTGCCTTCTGGGAAACGTGGTCATTATGTGTGGGAATACATCCATCCATCCATTATCTTTACCCGCTTATTCCATTTTGGGTCACGGGGGTCGCTGGTGCCCATGTCCAGCAATCACTGTGCGAGGGGCGGGGTACACCCTGGACGGGTCGCAAGTCCATCACAGGGCCTGTGGGAATACAGTGGAGGATTACTGAGAGAAAACTACAAAATGGCAGCGTCTGTCTGAAAATTTTAAATTTTTCATTAACTTTTCACTGTACAGTACTGTATCCAGTACTGTCCCAATCACGGGACTGATATTAAAGTTGACAATCGTGTCCTGTACACATTTTTTTGTGCAGTACAATATTATGTACTGTACCTTCACAAACTGTGATAAAGCAAGTACACAATCAAACTGTAAAGTAGCGAAAGACTACTATAGTTGCTAATTTCTGAATTCTGATCTTGTTTGCTTTTGAGCAATTTGTAACTTCTAGCCTGTACATACTATTTAAATTCAGGGAGTCAAGCAGATTCACCATCCACCAGCCAGGGGGTAACATGCGACAGACAAAAGGACAGTGAACCTCAGGTTCCGTCTGTCAATGATATGGAATTTGAAGGACAGCAAAGGCCAAATGAAGATCATGTTCATTTTTCAGAGGTACGGTGAAACATTTAAATTATTTATTTCATTTTGTAACTGAGCTTCAGCACAACTTTCTCCTCAGTTTCAAACAGTTCAGCACAAATTAACTCATGCTGTAAGTTTAGGTCTTTGTGAGCTGATCTTGTTTTTACAACAAAACAATGAACAGTTGGCGGCGGTTGTTCATTTGTATTTTTCATTGCGCTAAAGTGCTTCAGATGTGAGGGATTCACAGGGATTTGTGTCAGACTTACCTGCTTCTTCCCTTTGTGTTACCCAGGGCCGGTCCAAGACATAAGCAAACTAAGCAGCTGCTTAGGGCCCCGGGGCCACTTGGGGGCCCCTAAGTGGAATTGATTTTTTTTTTTTGTAATGATTTCTATATGATTTTATTTAATATTTTAAGTTCAGCTTTTGCAATTTGTTGCATTTATTTACATACTGTAGTTTTAAGAACTAATTATTCAGCTTTAAATTTCTTTTTTTAACCACTTTATGTGGTTTTAATTGTTCGTTTACATTATTTAAGGATTTCCTTAATATTTTATTCTTTATTTTATTTAATTTTGTCAGTTTTTGCACTATTTAATTTATTTTTATGCATCTAAGTTATTTTATCTGTTGTTTGTTGTTGATTTTGCACTACAAATTATTTTGAACATTTCTGTTGAAGTTCACATTTGCTGTAAAATACAATGCATACTGTCATTTTTTTCCTTTTGTTACTTTTAGTGCCACTGATATACACATATAATGTAAACAGGGCTGTCAGAGTTGCAATGAGTTTATGTTAGGTGGGTTAATGATCTGATCATCTGATTGTTGATTAATCCACATTATTAGTAGAAATAGACGGCCCCAAACCAAATTTCTCTTAGGGCCCCATGGAGGCTTGGGCCGGCACTGGTGATACCTACTTATTTTGCTCAGGTGTCACAGGTATGTTTGCTCTGTGGGGTTCAGGCACTTTAGAAGAGTCATCACTTAGGTGAAAGGAAGCAGTTTGTTGTTTACCAACGGACAGGTTTAAGCCTGATTTATGCTGTGTCTCCTGAAGCTGCTATGTGTTGTCATCATTGTATGTTCCCACACAATGACAAACTTAGTTCTCTGCATTTAACCCATCACACATGAGATACATCCAGGTGGAGCAGTGGGCAGCTGTGTATTTGTGTCATTTATGTCATCCTGTGTGTTTATCCAAGGTTATGTTTTTTTTTTTTTTATTATTATTTGATAATTGCATCACTTAATATTTACCTTTTGTTGTTTCCTTCAACCTAAAAAGCTTAAGTCTGTTCAATTCTTGTTATCTTTTACCTTCATGCTTTTGGAACAGACATTGTGCATTGTCAAAGAACATTGATCATAAAGTGTGTGTGTGGTGATGGGGTTGTTTAAAGGTATGACCTAAACAGCTACAACTCATTTCTCATAGATAGATTTTGGTTAAAACTCTCCAAAGAAAGGTAGAGTTTAATTTGCATTCCTTCATGAGACGCTAGATCTTTATTTTCATTAGAAACAAAACAGTCAGTGTGGTCGAAAGGTTCTGTGTTCATTTTTATTTCAGAAGCACCTTAAAGACTAGTTGGTTTACAACCACCATCATCATCATCATCATCATCATTATCATCATCGTCATCATCACATGGACAATCAAAAATAAATGTTCACCATCACTGTTTCTTGTCATCAAATAAATACCAAAACATTTTAGCTTCTTTTCCCCTTCGGTTTAGCCGTGTACTCAAAATAGTTTGAGGAAATAAAAAACGAACTCGTGAAAATAAAAGCAGAAAATATCTTTACAAAATTATTTAAAAACTGTTTATTACAAAACATTTGCACATAAAAAAATCCCAGCACTTGAAATAAATAATAAAACCTATAAAACAATTAATATTTGACTTCTTAAAATAGTTCCTCTTTGTTCAGCAGTGTGTGTTTGTGTGTGTGTGCGTGCGGTGGGTGGGGGTGGAGGGTTGCAACTAATTACTGGTTCAAATGGTTTCTGATAGAAATAAAACTAAATGCAAATATGGTCAATAAATAGTTCATTTTTACAGCAGACATGAGTTGGTTATTAAACTGACATTTGCACAAGACTTAAATAGTTTCACATCAATAGTAAAAATGAAGGTACAAAGTGGTTCTGGAGGTGCAACAACACTATGATGAGGTAAAATGCTTTGACCAATACATATTAAAGATGAGATATGTTATCTAACTAACTCAGACTGGTTACTGCACCCTGACTCCTCCCGCCGCTCAAGCACAGTAACACTTGGATTAACAACCACATGTCTAATCTGACCATCGTACAGCAGCATGCAAACAGGAAACTCATGGAAAAACAGATGAGGAATCCAGATCAGGGCATTTCATCACATATAAATATTTCAAGGAAACAAACAAAAAAAGAACTGGTGTGATTTCCATCTTAGCTTTCAGCCTTCACACCTCGATGCCCTTCACCGCCTGGTTGATGGACTCCAGCAGAGCCCGGTTCTCGGGGTTCTGGTAGCAGTCTTTGTTGGTAAACATGTGGGTCAGAGTGTCCACGTAACTGTCAAAGTTCTGCTCTGACACTGGCTCCTGCTGAACCCAAACAGAATGATTAGTAAAATAGTAAAAAAAAAATAAAAAAAAGAACTGTTCAGAGGTATGGAAAAAAGGTTTGTAAGCTCAGTCATCCAGGTAGATAACGACAACAAAGGTTAAATCGTGTCATCTGGACCAATTTCTTTAAGTGAGAAATTTTTCGTCCCCCATCCAGAGGACTTCCACAGTCTACCACCTGCCAACAACAAAAACACCTATATTTTTTAAATATATTTTCCTCAATAAATAATAATTCACAAAAAATTGTTTTATAGCAAAGATGAGAAGAATGTATTATTTTATTTGATATAAATATGGGATTAAAATGTGTTTTTTACTATTTAATCTAATGCAGGGGTGTCAAACCCACTTACAAAAGGCTGCCAAAATTAAAACCTTTTTCCAAACTAAGAGCCAGTTTCAGAATCTACGTTAACTCAAGTTAGATATAAAACATCTTTTCTTGGTCACAGGTTCCTCAACAAGAGTTTGATTGGTCTCATTTGACATTCTCTGTTGCACTTTTGACATCATAATCAATGATTACTGGAAAAAAAATTAAAGTGATAAAAGTATTTGACATAAAAAAAACATCTTGGGGGCCAGATAAGACATCAATGAGAGCCACATTTGGCCCCTGGGCCTTGAGTTTGACACTTATAATCTAATGGGATGATTTTTCCCCAAAGAACCTGGAAGTGTAGTAAAGTTATTGTGAGGTTATGAGAGCATTAAAAAAAATTATATTAAAAAGTAGAAGGATTTCTAGGCTTTTTCAAAAAACATCATGTTTATTGACAGCACCAAAAATAAATTATTAAAGAAAAAGATTCAAAATAAATGTGTGGCTGATTTTTCCCTGAAAGACAATACAACGTGTGCAGGTGTCAGTTTAATGACTGTTGGTCTAAAGTCCTCTTAGTACATCGCCAAGTTAGAATAATTCAGGTAGTTCTGTTAGGTGTTAAAATCCATCCATCCATCCATCCATCCATCCATCCATCCATCCATCCATTATCTTTACCCGCTTCTTCCTTTTCGGGTCACTGGTGCCCATGTCAAGCAGTCACAGTGCGAGAGGTCGGGGACACCCTTGACATGTCTCCAGTCCATCACAGGGACACATAGAGACAAATGAGACAAACAACCATTCACTCTCTCACTCACACCTAGGGACAATTTAGAGTTACCAATCAGCCTAACATGCATGTTTTTTGGTCTGTGGGAGGAAATTGGAGTATCAAGAGAAAACCCACGCATGCACGGAGAGAACATGCAAACTCCACCCAGAAAGACCCCCGGTTGGGATTTGAACAGGAGCGACTTGCTCGCTGAGAGGCAGCAGCTCTACCATCTGTGCCGCCGTGTTTTAAAGCTTGGCTTGTATTTTGTAACTGCATATAAAATTGTGAAGTTTTTTTTATGAAACTGCAGCACTCATTTGAGGAAAAATGTTCCCTCCGGTGTTTTGTGCACTGCAGGAGCGATGCCATCTCGCTGTAAGAAAGTAAATAAATAAACACGTTTTTAATTATTTACTTTTGACTTTACTTGGATAGATGTGCACATAAATAAGTTTACTTATACTTGAGTAGAAGCTCAACAGAGTAACTATTATTTTAGTTATGTCGGATGTCAGGACTCTGAAGTGGACTGATCAGGGACTGCTGTCTGTCCCTGAGTCCAGGAGACAGAGTCTTTGCAGTTTCAGCCTCAACACTGGGACTTTGTGTCGTTCTGTCTTTGTTCTGCGGACTCACTGGACCTTTTCAACGAACAGCTGAATTCTCATTTCAGCAGCGTTTCATTGTCTCATTTGTTTTTAACTGTTTCTGGCTTTATTGACTCAGTTTAAAGTTTCATGTGAAGCACCTCATGATCTGTATCTTGAAATGCACCATCTGAAAAATATTTAATTACTTATTGATCAATGCGCATGAGTGAAGGTTTTGTCAGATGACGCTGTGCTTGAGTAAAATTGTGACCAATAACATTTAACATTGTTGTGCTTTAATCAAAATGTAAAGTCTCAATGTGTTGCCTTTCGGTCAGAATATTAGAACTTCTTGCTTTCAGACAAAAACAAAAAAATATGCGAGAGCAGATTTTTTAGTAATTCAGTCACATTCATCTTGATCATACGAGCTCACATTAGAGCTTCACTTTCACTACTTTCTTCTTGAGTGGGCTTTGTGTCGCTCTGGTGCCACATCTATGCAAAGTTTGAGGTATAGGGTTAGGCCATGCAACGTCATTGTTCTTTAGCAACTGTTAGCTCTGTATGTGTTTTTTTTTTTTGGTTGATTGTATTTTGGAACAAATACAAAAACAAAAATTTTTTTGTCTACAGAACCTGGTGCATCGGGCATCCTTTACTTCTTTGGAATGTTATTAAATCTGGAGTCATTTTGTATCAGTGTCTAATTTCTAGGGTAAAGTATTTGACAAATATTTCTGTTTTTGTCAGTATGATTAAAAACTAACTAAACAAAAAGTCACAGGAGCAATATAGCTTTTAGCCTAATTGTTTAAATCTACTCACCATGGTGGGCAGACGGATGTTGGCCAGGCTGCGGATCAAAGCCTGACTCAAACCAGAAAGCTCCAGGAACAAAGCTTCATTTCTTTTTTCTATCTGTTTGTTCTCCTCCTCGATGTTCTTTAGGTTTTTCTCCATTGAAGAAATCTACAAAACAAACAAACAAAAAAAAAAACATGAAATTTAGCCATGCAGCACAACAAGCAACTACACAAAGTTACATTCATCTTTACAGACTGACGTGTTGAAAACAGCAGAGCACGTGGAAGCTGTTTACTGTGTTCAGTAAAAACACACATGCTCAAGATTTAAAGGTGCCCTTCAGAGTAATCTAGTAAAACTTTGCGTATTTGTCACACAGTTTTGATTAAGAAAAAAAGGACAAATTATGAGCTCATACACGTGGATGGATCCATAATAGTGTGCTGTGAAACAGAAACAAACACCTGAAATGAAAGAGGGACTTAAATTACATTTATATCTCATTTAAAAGCTGTTAGAACAGATAATTTAGAAAAAAAAATGTGTTTGTAACATTTTAGAAACATTTGCTGTTTAAGATCATCTGGCCCAAAGATAAACTTGTTTCAAGCTGTAGTGTATTTTCTGCCTTTTTGCTGTTGACAGGAAGTGACGTTTGGAGTTTGCAAGTTTGATGATTTGTTTTCTCCTGTCGCACAGCGAAGAAGGGAAATTAGAAATACCCTCCATCCATCCGTTCAGCCATCCATCAATCCATCTCTGTCCGTGCATGTTGTGAGCATGATAATTTGAAAACTAAGTGAGGTACAGTAGTCCCTCAGTACTTCGTGGTTCGACTTTTGCGGTTTATACAAGTAAGATTGACCATGAGAAAAGAAAATGGTACAGGACACATGATTGCCAACTTTAATATTACTCGTGCTTAGGACAGTACGGGATAGTGTACTGTAAAAAGTTAATGAAAAAATAAAATACTTCGGACAGGCGCCACCGTTTTGTAGTTTTATTTTCAATAAGCCTACCCTGTATCCCCACTCATAATGACTACATTTCCCAGAAGACAACAGTGCCCTGCCCAGAAGCCCTCTGCTGAAATATTAGAGGGAAAGTTCTGACCTGATCGGAAAAATTTCGGCACTTATTACAGTGACTTTGGTGCCCAGTGGATGCAGAGAACCAGAGCAGAAAACACTGAACCGGAGCAGAACCGGAGCAGAACGAGACCTTCACACCCACCGGCAAATTCGAGAGCCAGTAGCTGGCCCACAAGGACTTCTGAGTTGGGGAGGCACTGCTAAAGGTCCGGCTACTCTCTGGAGCACATCGGGACGTTATCGGACCATCGGTCTCGCGTCAGTCACCCAAAGCCCCCCGCTCCCCCACCCAAATGCGCTTCAGTGCTCAACGGCTGCACAGAACTGGAGCAGAACTGGACGTCCAGACCCATTGGCGAATCCGAGTCCACAAGGACTTCCGAACGGGACACACCGCCGAACATACAGTGCTCCATCCAGAGCCCCATCCAGAGCCCCATCCAGAGCCCACAGGGACATTTTTCATCTCTCGGGTTGGAGTGGAACCGAGCCGCTGCTGTTCTGCCTGGTAAGTAAAATTTAGTAGCTACATATACAGTACTGTACGTATGTTGTTAAAATTAGTAGGTTTAAGAGTTTAGAACATGATTGTGAGCTTTTCGCTGCAGGGTACGTCTGCAGAAATGGAACAGGTCCTTCTGTTCTCACTATTGTGAATAGCAGTTTATCCTCAGGGGTGGTGCCAAAAATCTTTAAACATGCTGCTGTTCAACTTCTGCTGAAAAAGCCTAACCTTGACCCCGCAATAGTGATCAACTTCAGGCCTGTCTCCAGACTGCCATTTGTCACTAAACTACTGGAAAAAAATTGTTGAGTCCCAGTTAAAATGCTTCCTAGAGGATCATGCCATCTTAGAGCTATTCCATTCTGGCTTTAAACTTCTCCACAGCACTGAAACTGCTCTACTGAAGGTTTTTAATGACATCTTCCTATCCATAGAAGTTGGTGATTATGTGCTCCTTGTCTTACTGGATCTTACATCTGCTTTGGACACCATCGACCATGAGATCCTCATTGCTAGGTTAGAACAGTGGTGGGCATCACAGGGTCAGCCCTCAAATGGTTTAGATCCTACCTAGCTGACAGATTATTTTGTGTCTCCATCAAAGATTTTAGTTCAGCATCGGCAGTGCTTAAATGGGGGGTACCGCAGGGGTCCATCCTCAGTCCCCTTCTATTTTCTTTATACCTGCTACCACTAGGTGCTATTTTCCAGAAACACAACATACCCTTTCACTTCTATGCTGATGACTGTCAAATTTACTTCCCCCTAAGACACAATGGTACATGCTCTATTCAACCTCTGCTTGACTGCCTGGTTGACATCAGAGACTGGATGGCTTTAAATTTCTTAAGTTTCAATGAGAAGAAGTCTGAAGTCATGTTGTTTGCTTCCAACGATTCAATCATCAACCACTGCATCGACCTTTCCACTCTAGCCCCATTAGAGAAACAAAGAGTCACTAATCTGGGAGTGATAATGGATCCTTCCATGAAACTTAACAGTTATGTAAACATGAATGTTAAATCCTGTTTTTTTCCATCTGAGTTGGCTGAGTCTAAGCTGAAGCCCATATTGTCCAAAAATAACTTGGAGAAAGTAATACATGCATTCATAACATCCAGGCTCAATTACTGCAACACACTCCTGTTTGGTATCAGTCAGACCTCCATTGCTAGACTACAACTGGTCCAGAATGCGGCAACCTGATTTTTAACCAGTACAGGCAAAAGAGAGCATTTTACACCAGTTTTGGCCTCCCTGCACTGGCTACCAGTTCACCTTCGAATCCAGTTCAAAATACTCAAATCACTGAACCACTCTACCCCCTCCTATCTCACTGATGTGCTGCAGCCGTATGTCCCACCACGTTCCCTGAGGTCAGCGGACCAGTTGCTTCTCACAGTTCCAGTAACCCATCTTAAGCGCAGAGGTGACAGGGCCTTCACTGTCGCAGGCCCAAGACTACGGAATGAGTTACCTCTGCTTGTCAGGCAGGCCCCCTGCTTCACAGTTTTTAAATCCCACTTAAAAACTCACTACTATTCCCTGGCTTTCAACACTGTATGATCTGTGTTAAACCTGTAGGCATCACACTGTGTTAGTCATTATGTTATTTGCTATTATTTTGTTTCTGTATTTTGATTTTACGTTATGCTATATGTTGCTGTGTGTGCTGCCTGTTTGTTTCTGTTTGTACAGCACTTTGTTTGACCCTGTCGCTGTTTAAAGTGCATTTTAAATAAAATGGTATGGCATGGTATCAGTATTTACCTTGTAAACAAAGGTCATAACCGTCAATAAACTTGATAAATAATAAAATCATTGCATGCTTTTACAAGCTGTACAAAAACCCAACCATAACTCCAATGCAAACCAGGCAGGCATTGCCCTTGTCCTACAACAGCATCATGTGGGAGCAATGCTGAAGAGGATTAACACCACAAAGGTGACAGGACCAGAAGGTGTCAGGGCAGCACTAAAAATGTGCTATCAGCTTTAGACGTCAGGCAGTGAATTGCCTGAATGACTGTCACTCATTGCTCTCTCAACAATAACAATGAAGGTTGAGAGGCTGATACTGAATTACTTCAAGGTCACCACCCCCACCAATCTAGACAGCCCCCAGTACACCTACAGATCAAATGAAGACCCATCCACAAACCTGCACACTATGCTTTCCCATCTAGAGCATCCCAACACCTATACTTGAATGCCATTTGTCGACTTCAGCTCCATCTTCAACAGAATTTTCCCCTGCAAACTGGTAACCAAGCTCATTCACCTGAGACAGGACGTCCCACTCCTCTACTGGATAAACAAGCTTCGGACTGGCAGACCACAGATCATCAGAGTAAGAATTCACATTATCCAGTTACGCTGCGTACAGGTGCATTACAGAGCTGTGACATCAGGGCTGCTGCTCATGGTTGGGATTTACCTCACAAATTTGGCTGTATTAAGTACAATGACATTAAAACTTTTTAGCTTTCCATTTTAACCTTAACCTTTTAAAAGTTGAACTCCTATTTGTTATTGAGTAATGTGAGCATAAACATGTGAATTAAAATTCGGAGGATGGAAAAAGTCAGAGAAATACAACACTAAGCTACATTAGTCAGTGAGCACAATAATCAGTAAATCCTTCTGGTTTTCCAATAAAATTGTGTATTCAAATTCAAATTCAAATTCAGAAATACTTTATTAATCCCAAAGGGAAATTATTTGTTGTTGTAACTCGTTATCCTCATTTCATTAAGAGATGTTATAGATACAAATGGCTGTAGACAGGAAGGATCTCTTGTAAAGGTCCATCCCACAGTGGATGCTAAGAAACTGGCTGCAAATGCCGTCTGATCCGTCCAACCAGACTCGGCTGGCCTCTCAGTTTCCCCGGGCTGTAGGACTGCCCCAATGCCAGGCAGAACTCCTCCCAGAGCGATGGCCACTCCTCCCAGCAGTCTGCTGAGCTCCTCATCGCTGCGGAGAGCCAACTGCAGGTGCTGAGGGACGATCCTGTCCTTCTGCTGTCATGAGCCGTGTTTCCTGCTAGTTCCAGGATCTCAGTGGTCAGGCACTCGAGCACAGCTGGCAGGTAGATGAGAATGCGTCCACAGAACATCCTTTCAACTCATTAGAGATTTGGGGCTGTAGTTGAGACATTATTTGAGCTTTTGAGATGTTAATCAGCTGCTGTTGGTTGTAAAAAACTGCCTTGTTGTTGTATCTACTATAAATATATATATATATATATATATATA